CCCCCCCCCCCCCCATGTTGTTTCAACAAAAAAGCACATAGAATTACTAAAATTGAAACTAAAATGAAATTTAAAATAAAATAGTAGTATAAAAATTATACTAAAATAACACCGCACACAAAACTGGAAAACACTTTCTCGTCCTAGTAAGATCTAATCTGATTGGCTGATTTCACATCAGGATTAAATAAACATTTACATTTACTCATTTAGCAGACACTTTTATCCAAAGCGGCTTACAAATGAGGGACACTGAGGGACATTGGCTGCTGTGCCAATATTTAAATATTTTTTTCCATGGGAATGTGATATAATGTATCTCGCTACTAAACGGCACACAATACGAACTGTAACGAATCACTTTAAATGTCAGTCAGACGCTCTTCCCGTCTCAGTGGACGATTCTTGACCACAGTAACCAATAACTGCCGGTGTGGATCAAACTGTACAAAGATCAGTGATAAACGTCGTGTATGACAGGAAACAGTCTGCGTTTCTGTTTGATCACACTATATAATAATGCAGAAAATGAAAGAATCTGGGCTCATGATGTGTCAGCATCCAGTAAAGCCGGTTTACACTTATTTTAATACCACAAAACCACATCCTTGTGGCATTTATCTCATGTTCAGTCAAATGTACATATACTATTTCTGAATGATCTCTGAATGTTCTAAAACAAGTAGTAACAATTTTTAAAAATGTCAGACGAACATCCAACTAAAGCATTCCACGAACAACGTATAACTAATGTTTTTATGCTAACGTTTTAAGAACATTATTTTAAAAACCAGACAACTCTGAATGAACGTTCTATTAACGTTACTAGAAGAACGTTTGTTTGTAACTTTCAGAGAACCTTGCCAGAACGTTCTGAGAACATTCCCATTATGTTAACGTATAAATAACGTATTCGTACTAATGTTTTGATAACATTATTAAAGACGTTCAGATAACTTTAAACAATCGTTCTACAAATGTTACTAGAAGAACGTTTGTTCGTAACTTTCAGAGAACCTTGCCAGAACGTTCTGAGAACATTACCATTATGTTGACGTATAAATAACGTGTTCGTACTAATTTTCGATAACATTATTAAAGACGTTTAGATAACTTTAAACAATCGTTCTACTAACGTTACTAGAAGAACGTTTGTTCGTAACTTTCAGACAACCTTGCCAGAACGTTCTGAGAACAATCCTTGTTAGATGGGTAGACAGAACGCTAGATATAACGAAAGATATAACGACAGACAGACAGACAGACAGATGTGAGATCCTGCATCAGGAGCTCCACAGGACCGCGCAGAAGCTTTCTGTAGAAGCGCACCGTCTCAGTCAAACTGGCCGTTTTATGACCCGCACAGCTCCGTTCTGGAGTCAGTGTAGAAATCTGTGTGTAGAGACAGAGAGAAGCGTTACTGCGGCTCACAAACACATCCTATCCACTGACTTCCTTCGCTTTTTATTCCAGCCGACAAAAACACGTGCCAAGAATGTTTCGTAGACGTTCCCATTGAGTCATGAAAACGGAATTTCTGAATGTTCTTGGAATGTGTTATTTTTATTTATTAACGTACACTGTAAAAAAAAATCGGTAAAATTTTACCGTAAAAATTACGGTAGCAACGTTTTAGGTTTTACGGTTTTAACTTAAATTTACAGTTAAATACAGACAGACAGACAGATAGATAGATAGATGGATAGATAGATAGATAGACACTGGCTGTCGTGTTGATGTGAGTGTCAGTGATTGACGCACCGATCCGCAGGAACACCACCACACTGAACATTGACAGCAGTGTTGGAATCACCACGCCGAAGAATATGTTGAGTTTGGGCTGTTTAGCGGCGGGTCTCCGTCGGACGGTCGCGGGGCTCCGGGGCTCGTCCTCATCTCTCCCGGCCCGAGTGTCCCGGTGGTCTCCGGACTCGTTGACGCTGGCGGAGAGCCGGTAATGCAGCAGCGGCGTCCGCTCAGACATGTCGCCGTGACTGAAGCTTCCTCTCCGGCTGCGGTCACATGACTGCCCGTGTTTACACGCCTCCAGTCACGTGACAGAGAGAGCACTCAGCCAATCAGCAGCGGCCTCGAGTAAAATTCACAACTGTATTCATACTGAACTATAAAAGCACAGCGGAGATTACAAATAAAAGCTTTATTATTTAGACACATCGTACCTGAAAATTAGAGACTACATAATAATATACACCTCTCTCGCTCTCGCTCTCTCTCTCTCTCTTTAAACACACACACACTCACTCACACACACACACACACAGAGAGAGAGAGAGAGAGAGTTCATGTATTTTATCGAGAGAAATATCAGCCACATTAATAATACAAACTTTACATAAATTATAAACTGCACTACATTAATCTGATGCTGTTAACATTTCGTCTATAACCTATAAAATATATATTCACACTATAATGAATTTCATGTACAGTACATATTACACATTTTAAGAATTTACAAAATCCTCTTATTTTTAAGCTTAAGAGAAAAAAAAAGCAAAGAATGTTTTGTATTCTTCAAAACACTCCTTATGCTCTTGCTTTTTTCCTGAAGACAAAATTTGAGAAATCAAATTCTTATAAAGTATGTTAGGATAACCTCCAACTTGTCCTTAATTTGGGAAGAAACGATGTTTAATGAATGCACTGGGTTGTTTCAAATATTAAACATAACAACATAATACTACATATAGTACATATTATATGTACAACTACTAGAGGACTTTAGTTTTATATCAAGCAAGTAAATTTGCCTTCGAAAGTCAATGTCTTCAAATGAACACATTTTACACGTAGATTGACAATTAAGATTAGTGTAAAGTTTTGTGTTTGTTGTATTACACAAGACGACCTCAACAATACATTAACACTTGCCATTTTATTCTTAAGAAGAAAAAAAATAAAGATCCAGCTAACAGAGAACGTTCTCAGAGCATTCTGGCAAGGTTCAAAGTTATCTGGTTTTTAATAATGTTCTCAAAACATTATTTATACATTGATATACGTCTTTTTTGAAACATTTTAGTTGGACGTCCATCTAACATTTTTTGAAATGTTACTGTTTGTTCAGAGAACACTCAAATGTTGCATTCCCACAGTGTTTGAAAAATGATACAATGGAAGGTTCCATGGAATGTTTCCATTAACATTTGCATAACCAAACAAACTAAATGTTTTGAAAACATTAAAAAAAAAAACGGGACTTTCAGAGACATTCAGAAATAACATTTTCATAACTAAACGGGAACGCTAGCCAAACGTTCTTAGAACATATTTTAGAACATATCTGAAATGTTTTAAAGAATTGAACTTGGGAACCTCTTTATTAATGTCTTAGAATTTATCTTGATTTAAAAAAAAAAACAACAACAACAACAACAAAAACATTCTTCTTTAGAAGATTTTCGTGAATCCGGCCCCTGGTTTTCCATTTCATCTGTAAATCCTCTCCTGTTCCACTGTTATTTTCCCAAATCAGTTTTTTTGCACTTCTTGAATTTCCTTAATCGACTTTAAGTTCACTTTAAGGAGACGTTCAGAGGCATAACGGTGCATTAAGACGGATCCTTTGACCATCTGTACTTTCTGTCTTTTGTGTGTGAGAAGTTCATGTGTGTGTTGTGCACATGTGTGTGAGATCCTGCATCAGGAGCTCCACAGGACCGCGCAGAAGCTTTCTGTAGAAGCGCACCGTCTCAGTCAAACTGGCCGTTTTATGACCCGCACAGCTCCGTTCTGGAGTCAGTGTGGAAATCTGTGTGTAGAGACAGAGAGAAGCGTTACTGCGGCTCACAAACACATCCTATCCACTGACTTCCTTAGCGTTTTCGACGCAGCGTCTCGTTCCCTCGAGGAACTAGGGTTACATACGTAACCCGAGACGTTTTTCACCGTATATAGTAGGGGAATTTACCGTTAACCATTTAACAGGTTTTTACTGTAGCATTTTTACAGTCTTTTACCGTTAAATTCACCGTCATTTTTTACAGTGTATGCATTTTTTATTTATTCATTTATATATTTTGCATTGACAGTAATGAGTAAAAAAGTATTAAAAAAAAGAGGAAATAAAATTAAAAAGGGAACAACAGCAGTGTGATCAAGCTCAATGTAAGCATTTAAGCATACATAATCGATGCCAAGACTTCTCAAATGATTTAAATGTACTTTTTAACATGCATTCAGTCTTTTCCAGAAATATGACTTCTTAAATCAGGGTTATGTGATCCATAATCAGGGGAACGGGAATGGAGTAAGTTCCTGCTTCATGCCCTCTGGAATAAAATCAGATCTTCTGCTTTACGGCGACTTATCATGAAGTAATATTTAGATATGAAATGTTTAACTTCCGCATTTTTGAGAAATAATCTCTCCAAAAGGAAATCAGAGCTATTCAGGTTAAGACTAACATGTCTAGACTGAACGAAATGTCTTTTCTGCAGTTATTTAAAGAAAATCTTAACTCAAATGATATGAACACATGCTTATGGAATAAGTCATATATTGTATACTCCAGCATGAAGCCTATAATAGTGAACATCTAAAAGACCGGTCAGTGTGGAGAGGACAAGTAAGCTCTGATTATATCTGATCTGATGCTTTAATAACTCTAATAATAAATGGATTTTGTCTTAACTTGGAAGCTAACTCACAACTTCTCACTAAACGTTTTTTAAAAGGTATGGAAATGTTGCGATAAAATGTTTTTAAAGTGACGTTTATGGAACGTTCTTACAACTGTTTTAATATCTGATATAGTTTCTCATGACACTGAGAGAAAATGTTTTCAGAACAACATTATTATGATGTTATTTGTAGTGCTGTAAGAAACATTTGAAATAACTTTATAATCACAACAAGAAAACGGCACTAAGAATACTAAAAATAAACGTTCAACATTGTATTTTGGGTGAAAATAAAGTTAGCAGAATGTTATAACGGTTACTTACAGGTTACAAAACGTCTATTAAAGCCTTAAAATGTTACTAGTTTCAGATGGTTTAGAGAACATTTAAAATTAACCATAATGTTCCCAAACTGGACGAATATCACAGCTAACAGAGAAGTAAGTTCTAGTAAGTTATGAGCAAATGTTTTTCCAGTAACGTTAATGAAACATTTGTTCAACGTTTTCTGGTCTTTAATAACGTTCTCAAAACATTAGCAACTTTTTTACTCATTGTATTTAAACGATTGTTTAAAGTTATCTAAACGTCTTTAATAATGTTATCGAAACATTAGTACGAAAACGTTATTTATACGTTAACATAATGGTAATGTTCTCAGAACGTTCTGGCAAGGTTCTCTGAAAGTTACGAACAAACGTTCTTCTAGTAACGTTAGTAGAACGATTGTTTAAAGACTTTTTTTTTCTGAAACGTTTAAGTTGGTCGTTCGTCTGACGGTTTTTAAATATTACTACTTGTTTCAGAACGTCCAGAGAACATTCAAAATTAGGGCCGTCATGATTCCTCGATTAAATTCGAGTACTCGATTATACAAAATCCTCGATTGCATTTTGCCATGTCGATTAACCGGCAAAATACCGCAAGTGGCGCATTCCACGGACAAAAAATATTAAATATTTAAATATTAAATATTAAAACCATTTAAAAATCGTCATTTTAAGCATATTTCTGAGAAGTACATAAAGCCCATTTCTGAGAAGTACATAAAAAGTAGACTAAAAGTATACTTTCCCATTTTTAGTTTAAAAGAAGTATACTAATAGCACACTTGAATAAACTTATTTTTCGTAAGGGAAAGCATAGTGCTAGTGTGAATTCACAAAGATTGCAATTCAATTACATAAATACATGCGCTGCGGGTTTAATATGCGCTTTATGTCTATGCATGTAGCTTACGGTAAATGCTGCTCCACACAAACAGTCATAATTTACATGCACGGATTGAATCTGAGTTTGCTTTCTTCGATGTCCACATATTCAAGAAAGCTATTATTGCTATTGCTATTATATATGCATTTTAAGTCTATTGTTCGCTTAGGTCTATTTTTATCCATTTTAAAAATGATCCGATAACTCGATTAATAATCGACCGATTACTCGATTACCTAAATAATCGTTATATTCAAAAGTAACATTTCTATAATGCTTTCGACATTATAAAACAGAACGTTTCCTTAGCGTTCACATAACCAAGAACGCATATTTTTAATACATTTAATAAACTCCATACCAACTCCAAAACCTTCATACCTTAATGGGAAACGTTCTCAGAGCATATTTTTGTTAATGTTTTTCTAATAAACATTATTAAATACCAGATAGCTCTGAATGAACGTTCTATTAACGTTACTGGAAGAACGATTGTTCATAACTCTGAGAGAACCTGGGATCCTGCAATAACCTGTATTTGTGCACACATTTATTGAGCGCATTTATAAATGAAGATGCACCACAGGCTTCTAGTGTTTTAAGAGCGTTTTGCATGTTTAGGATGGTTTTGTCTGATTGGTGTAGCACTCACCTGTCGCTCCAGACGCTCCACTATCAGCAGGTGGTTCTTCACACTGCGTTCCAGCGTCTTCAGTACGACCGTCTGACATGAAGCGGACGAACTTTCCTTCACGTTCCCCAGAGAGCGAAGAAGAGCGTCCAGAGAGTCGCGTACAAACGCCTGCTTCTGCTGGAACTGATGGGTGTGTCTCGAATGAGTAACTTCACACCAAACACAGTTATTGCTGTTAAAATCCAGAATAGACATATTCTTGCCAAGCTTTAGCACATTATTGAACATTATTCTGATGTCAGTTTTAGTTCTGAGGGAATTAAGTTGATAGATTACCACAACAGATCTTTGTTTTAGTATATTATTTTAGTATAATGTGTTATTTTAGTATAATTGAGATACTACTAGTTTTTTATTAATATCCTGAATTAGATTTTATTTTTTATTTTCTGTTTTCATTTAAATTTTAGTTAAAGTTTTAGTTATTTTATTGTGTTTATTTTTGTCATTTTTATTAATAGTT